CCCCCCCCCACTGCAGCCGCTCCACCCACAGCAGTCACTTTATCTGATCTTATAAACCACCATCTCACTTACTGCTCACTTCCATTACATTACATGCAAAACTGCCGAAAGGAAATAAGATGCTGTCCGATGACACATTAACTGTGAAAGTCTTGGACTCCCTGCTGTTCAGAGGCTGAAGGTGCTGTTCGCAGTGGGGGGGGACGGAGAGCTCAGCGAGCCTCTGGAGGTTGGCGCTCTCAGCTGTGACTCGGTGGAGCAGGTCAAAGAGAAGATCCTCAACGCCTTCAAGGCCAAGTTTGGGTTCCCCTACAACACCCCCCTCAGGGACATCCATATTGGTGAGTGACAGACCGGCTTCTCAACCCTTTATGTATTTTAAGAACCAACAAATAACTGATTCCACTAACATCCTTGTCTCTATGGATGAAACCTGATATTTATAATTCCTCTGTGCCAATGAGCGCCGTTGTTGTCCAAAATGGTGAAATACATCAGTGGGTCACACTGTTGCACTGTGGGACATTTCCTTAAAAAAGAGGAATACTTTCTCCTGTTTGGAAAACGTGCTTTCACACCGGAGTACTTTTCCCAGGAATAGTGTCGGCGCTTCTGGCGATTTACTCGGAAGGCTTCTACTGAAGCCAGTCGGAATGGCCCAGTCTCCAACTCCGGGGGACTCCGGGACTTCGGGTGATGGTATACGCCGTGAAGTTGTTTGCGGCCTGCCAGTAAACCCAAAGCAGAAGAAGACGTGACATCAGCGGCTTGATTTGCGTAATCCTCCCTCAGGGACTTATTCCGGTGTGACCGCGATCTACTAGGACAGTTCCAGGACAAAAGAGTTTGGCGGGGCTAAGTACTGGGAACTAAGTACAGCAAGGTAGTTGGTGTGAAAGCGGCTTTTAACTACGAACTATAAAAAGAGGCCTTTTATGCTGCGTTCACACCGGACGCGATGCGATGTTTGGGGGCGGCGCGATTACATGTAAAGTCAATGCAGAGACGTGGACAGACGCGAATTCGCTCCGACGGTGAGCACGCGGTGAGCACGCGAGAGTTCAATTTTTTCAACTCGAGCGTCAAATTCACGTGACGCGTTCTCGCGCAAGCCAATCAGCGGTGAGGATCTCAGCCTGCCGTCACCAGTGTTGGGACTAACGCGTTACACAGTAACGCGTTACTGTAACGCAACTACTTTTTGCGGTAACTAATAGCGTTACTAGTTACCTATTCCCATTAAGTAACGCCGTTATAGTTACTGTGATTTAAATGGGTGCGTTACTGTGTTACATTATGTGATCCAACTGAACCGAATCTCCCTGCGGATGTAACTTACAGGCGAATACAGTGATGTCCTCTCACAGTACCATGGACAAGTGAAAGTAACCAGAGAGGAGTAATGATTGGTTAACGCGGGGTAACATTTCAGGGTAAGCCAATCAGAGACAGAGTTGGGCGGGTCTTGCCTTATGGGGAAAATACACAAACACACAAACACTTGCTAACACACACACATACACGGCAACACCCAACAGCAGCACACACACACGCACACAATGGCAGATGCAAGTATCAGCGAGAGCAGCAGCGCATTTACAACTTGGAGATATAACCTCTATTTTCAATTTGTGGGGATAAAGGACGCAAAAAATATTACGGTCAAATGTAAACTGTGTGCAGGACAGAAAGCATTGTCCACTTGATTGTTGAGGCTACAACAAAGATGCCTGTCAAAATGTCTAAACATATATTTTGTGTTTTTATTGTTCCACTTACATTTCATAATGATAATTGCTACAATGGTGGAGAGTTGTCTTTTCTCTTACTGTGCCACAGAACAACACACAAACTTGTATTTTTATTGATATTATTTTTAAAGTAAAGTAACTTAGTTACTAGTTACTTTATAATTTAGTAACTAATAAAGTAACTAGTACGTTTTTGTAGTAGACAGAAACTATAACTATTACTAGTACTTTTTAAGTTAACTTGCCCAACACTGGCCGTCACTGACGTTCAACCAGAAACAATCAGCCGTTAGCTGTTAGCAGTTAGCGACACAGAGATCACAGCTCCTCATATCTGTTCAGAAACTGGACAAAAGTTAAACGAGTACAAACCACAGACTGTCTGTGTTATGGCGAATACAGTCGCTGGTTTATTTATGTCTGTAGGCCGTTGTTATGAGTGTGGAATGAGCATATACAACGTTAGCTTAGCCTGGTCGACCCGACCTTCATTCAGAAAACAAGCCTTTAAAAGGTTTTTCGCCTGCCGTCTTGTCTGCAGACTTGTCAAGCATTAATTCATGGTTTTTACTAACCGGTATCAGTATGTTGTTACGTCGGCATCATTTAGAAACGTGTATTACAATTTAATCACAGTAAAATATGTTCATTTTGTTGTAGTTGTAGCTCCCGAGCCAGTGGGCGTGCTTGTTTGAATGATGCGAGTAAACACAGCTGGCAGCGCGCGTGAAACTCGAGCGATTAGAGCGAAGCGAATATTCGGCTCGCGTCGGTGTGAACAACCCACTTAGACTAGAGCGATGCGATAGGAGCGATTAGAGCGAACTCACATTAGATAAATGACTGAGCTGCTGATAAAGATCAAACTAATACGATTATTGACTAATTTTCCGACTTTTTAAATGTAACTCTATAATCTAAAATACATATTTAGCTTACTGACATGTAGTGTTATAAATATATCTAGATTGTTNAGCCAACTGAGGGAGGGGATCCAGTGCCGCTAACTCCACAGGGACCTGTGCAGAGGGAGGAACATGCTGGTCAGCACTATAGGGACAGACTGGCAGCACACGTGTCAGCCCCACATGAGCGTCCTCCACACCTAAATGACCATGATTATTTCTTTATATAGTAAGTATATTAATGGCTTTCTTACATCATTCATTTAGTTTAATATGCAATCATTCCCCATGAATACATTTCAGTCAGACAACTCACGTGTTTCTTTAACATGTTTATTAGAAGCAGCATATAGTTGAGTTTGGCGACTAGGCTCGGGTCTCATCACTCCACTGATATACTGTACATAGCACGATGAGTGATGATTAAATAACTAACCCCGAGCCTACGGGTGGAAGCTGTGGTGGTGGTGGGGCAGCAAGCAGCAGCGACGTAGAGGTAGCTGCAGCAATAGCAGCAGCAAGCAATGCATAGAGAGAGATCTGGCAGGTTAAATAGAGCGGCATATTAAGGAGACTGTTTGGTTGGTTGTAGAGTGGCAAGGGGGCGTTATGCATGAATGCAGCATAAGTGCTCGAGTTGACTGCTTGAACTAGCTCGCAGGCTTCGCCCCATATGTCTCTTAAACATCTGCTTCTCATCGCAAACATATCCATAAGGGATGGACACGCATTCTGTGCAAAGCACCTGGGCGACACACAGTATCAGGGGATTTCTAAGGCTGACTGGTTTCTTGTTACCAACACACACACAAACAATAAAACCAAACAGTGAAATGTGAAAACGACAGCGTGGATGATTTTAACTTTTAAAACATATTTCTAGCCATTTCATCATGCAATTATTTGTTCTCATCTCATGCTGTTATAGTCACTTCACAGACTATTTCCCTTTTTTACAAGATGATGCATGAACATTTAACATGTTGCTATTTATGAACCTGTGCGTGTCGGTGTGTTTGTGCTCCTGAAGGTTCCTGATAGAGCGACAGTTAAAGTTCTTTCCAGGAAAACTCATCCTCCTCTGAGCCCGCAGGGAAGTCTAAAGGGTAAGAGCTGACACTTCAAACTGTTTGTGAAGCGAATGCTCTTTTCCTTAACAAGAGTTAGCTGTGAAAGTGAAACCTCTCTCATGACCTCCACTCTTAGAGGTGACACTGGATAGCACATTTTAGACCTAGTAGAATTGAGCATTTGAAATCCCAACTTCTCACCCCAATGTGTTAAAAAACTGATATTTTCTTTCGAAATGCTTAGGCCAAATAAATTAAGCTTATGAGTAATTGTTACTACAGCAAAAATAGACCACAAGTTGTCAGATAGAGGACGCTTTTTATTTACGCTCATGATTACATGTTTCTTTTTTCTCCTTTAGATGACGAGGACTTCTCTGGGAAATACTTTCACTTGGTGAGTAGCAGTTTGTGTTTTATGTGTGCTGTGGTAGATAATTTGAAGTCACAAACTACTTTGTAGTGTAGATGTGCACTATTCATGTGTGCACATCTCAGAAAACTACTAACTGAACGTTTTTTTAAATGGCAACTTTCTGCAGATTGATCCTGATGTAGATGAGGACCAGAGGAAGAACCCAGAGAGGAAGAAGTTAAAACTAAAGGAAGTGCACCTCACCAAGCTGCTCTCCACAAAGGCAAGAGGAACTAAAGTTACTGAAAGCAGAGTCCGTATCGCACACCATCTCCAAGCTGCAGAGGAAGCATGCTGTTTCAGTTTCACTCGCACACTGTTGTTTGTGGGTTACCCAAAACCAAGTTTGTGGCAAACGTATACATAATAACTATTTTACTAGCAAGGACCAACTGACCACTGTGTGATATTTGATAAAAGAAAGAGTACGGGCGGAGAGAGACTCAGAGTGGGGGTTCTGTCACTGCAACATTTCTGCTCGGGCTGATTACGGGCCCCCCAGATGGTTCCTGGAATGACCAATTAAAAGAATGCACAAGTTGGATACGAATGGATGAGGAGACAGGTAGAGAGGAGGACGGGATGTAGGGATATGGGGATTGGTGGATGAAGGGGTGGGTTGAGAGAATGGAGACAAACGGTGGCCGGATGTTTGGCCGGATATGAATAGACTTAGCAGTGGTTAGAGACGGGGTTGAGGCGTGGCCATGCTCCTGAACCTAGGTTAACAAATTAACTTAAAAACAACACAAAACAAATGTTTTAGTACTTCTCTTTTATTGATGATGGAAACATTATATTTGATAGTACAGCGTTCTGTACAGTTGTAATGTTTAATTATCACAGAGAAGAGGGAATTTAAACAGCAGGAAATTACATCACCTGCTCCTCCTTAAGGTGGCCGTGCATTCCTTTGTGGAGAACCTGTTCAGGTGTATCTGGGGGACGCCGCACTGCAGGGCACCGCTTGCTGTCAAATACTTTTTTGACTTCCTGGATGCTCAAGCAGATTCTATGAAGATCACCGACCCAGATGTCCTGCATATCTGGAAGACCAACAGGTATTGTCTGATCCGGGTGAAAATATTTAGTTTTAGACTTTAAACTGCAGCTTTCCTTTCTGACATGTCTTTTTGTTACTTTGCAGTTTGCCTCTGCGCTTCTGGGTCAACATCCTGAAGAACCCCCAGTTTGTCTTCGACATACAGAAGACTCCACAGCTGGACAGCTGCCTGACCGTCATCGCTCAGGCCTTCATGGACTCCTTCTCCCTAAGTGAGACCCAGCTAGGAAAGGTACTGTACAATACACAGCTCATCATTTACCAACTGACAGCTTCTCCTTTGCCTGGTGAGACAGCAGGTGGAGGTGGAACTATTGGATTAACCCTAATATAAAGACAAGAGAGTGTTTGCGTCTATGAAATCATACCTTTAATACCATTGTGTTCCAGCATGCACCAACCAACAAGCTCCTCTATGCCAAAGACATTCCCAAGTTCAAACAGGAAGTAAAGGCTTACTACAAGCAGATCAGAGACCAGCCACCAATCACAGACTCAGAATTCAAGGAATTCCTGCAGGAAGAGTCAAAGGTAATGTCCTTTTAGTGCAGAACTTTTGACCATAATGACCAGCAGTGAATGGATGAGTCACTCGTTTGTTTTTATTGTAGAAACATGAAAACGAGTTCAACGAATCTGTAGCCCTCAGAGAACTCTACAAGTTCATACAGCGCTACTTCACAGAGGTGAGTTCATCTTCACTCGCTTACATTCATTTCCATTTTATTTAGTTAAATATATGATCTGTTATATTAAATGGCGAATGAAATTCTTAGATGATAACAAACGGATGATGTTGTGAATGTCACATGTGGATTTGTTAAGTGTGACTCAAATGTGAGAAAATAAAGGATTTGAGGAAATCAGGTAGTAAATCATCACAAGAAATGATTCCGCCAGCTCAGGCACTTACACTTTTTATTAGACTTTTAATTTTCAGCAGCGCTCAATGGTGGGCTAGAACTTTGAAATCTATAAAAATCCATTAAAAAAAAATGTTATTAATCTCTTGATCTAACTATAATTTAAACACAGTTGTGTTCATTTAGAGTTTTCTTTTTAGAAATAGATGTTAGTTGTTGCAACCTTAACAAGTTTAGGCTCCCCGGTGCAAATAACAAAAAAGTCAATTGATATTCTGGAAAAATAGTTATATATTTAAACTGTGTATAAATGATTTAAAAACATTACATTTGACTAAAGATAATGAATTGTACTGCAGGAAATACAACTCTAACTGTAATTATCTAATTATGGCAGAGGAAGTGAAAACGTTGTTCACTTCCTCTTCCAAGCTTAATAGTTTTGTTAGTAAGTGTGGCACGCATCAGGGACACACCACCAGTGGGAATTACTGTTATTTAAAATAGTTTTATGATTTTCCAAATTGCTTGTATTCCAACCCTACAAGAGACATATTATATCAACATAATAAAAGCAAATAAAAGTCAATACAAATACTATTTCAAATGTTCTATTTGAAACGCAAGATGGTCACCAAGAAGGAGGGCCAGAGAAAAATGACATTTGAGGCGGTGTTTTAGAGCTATTCGATATTTAAAATAATATTTTAATTACTGCATTCACATTTTGTCTAAGAACAAGTATATTTACCACCACAAGTGCATGTTTTAGCATTCTGGGCATGGATTATATGAAATGTCATAGATGGGACAGAAAATGTCTTCAAATTCTGGAATGACCCATTTACGCTGGTGCTTTCTGCTTCATGTGCATCACAACTGGTTTCTGTGTTCTTCAGTTTCCCTTTGTTGTGGGATGTATCGTAGATGTTGGCAGCAGCAGTTATTTCACACTTGTGAAACCAGAAGTTACAGGAGGCAGTGTCGAGAGGAAATTTGATTTCAAAGCTTCTTCTGCTTTTTTGAGCCCACTGTCGTTTCCTGCTCTCATGTGCAGAGTGGCACAGAAGTGAACCCTGCAAAGCTTTATATGAGCACTACAGTTTTCTCACTTTAACTCATTCTTGGATCAATTAACTGAAATGACTGGATAACCCACACAATTGTTGTGGTTGAGACTGTAAATGGGGGGAGGGAAAGGGGTCTGACATGCAGTAAAAGGTTCCAGGGTTGGAATTGAACTATAAGTTGCTGTAATTTGGAGTAAGAGTAGCTACTAGGCTAAGAAGGCATTTGGAGTAGGTTTTTAATATGCTCTTTACTGTCTTTTGCCTTTTCCACAGATCAAAGAGAAGCTGAACCTAAATGGAGCCCCTTCTGAGATGATGGAGCAACTACAACATGTTAAAAACTCTTTTGATGAACTGAAGAGCTGCTCCTGGAACTGAGCAAGCCTTCTTCCTCTCACATGACACAAAACCCTGCTGGACTCTGAACTCTGGGAAGTCCTTGGCATCTATAACATTGAAGTGATGCACCTGTCAGTAGTTCAGTTTATAAAAAATATGCATTTACGGAAATCAGACATGTAACCAACACATATGTCAATAAGAACCATTCTTCTGAGGTCAGAGGACTGTACTACGAAGCTGGTTCAACCTAACCTGGATATGTTTGAGTTAGCCGGTTGGCCTAATCCAAAACATACGCGCTCTCGCTAAACGGTACTACGACGCGGGTTATCAACTCGTTAACTTAAGCCAGCCGTGTCCTATCTAGTTAGGCGCGCGTTCACATGAAAGGGGTGGTATTTGGAGCATTTGACCAATCACAAACATGGAGAAGCGTACTGACAGCGCAGCGTCATACTTCCTGAATGAAAAGTCAACTATAATATTAGACAAATATGAAGACGTTAAACTTTAAACATCCATGACTTAAACACTTTATCCAGGATAAAAGCCACATAGCTGCACCTGCAAGGTGAATACAGCTGGTAAAAGAAATGCGTACATTAACAGGTTTATGATATCACTGTCCCGTTTAAGACAAGAGGGGATCTGACTTTAATTACATTTGACTCAAGTGTTTCGTCAACTTAATGTATTGCTTAAAATAATACTTCTGCATACAGTATGTGATACTGTAAGTGTTGCACGGCCAGATACGGCTCAGCTGACTCAGATAAGGAAATATATGATACATTATGTGATATGAATGATAATGGGACACATCGACGTCTGCACTCACAGTGCCGCGGACTGTAGGCAACGTGATGTTACTTTGATCCGGTTACTTATGTTGTGGCAGATATTTAATTAAGCTTTCTTAACATAATAGTATAATAGTTATAATAGTCAGATTGC